TATAAATAGGGTTCACTCCCCTCCCCGCCACCCTTTTTTTAACATTACACAAATTACATCCGTACTGATTTCTGTGGAGGGCATTAGCATTTTAATCAGCCGTGCCATACTGTATCTGGCAGTCCAGCTACAACTCAAAGGGTATTTATTTTTTTTTTCCTTTTTTCCCTTGAAAAAAAATCACATTCTCCAGGAACATAAATGAGGAATCTTGGTGGGGGAAATTGTAGTCCTATGTAGCAGCCCAATGGCATCTCTTTACACTTTGAAACTTCCAGAGTATTTCTATCCTGACAGCAGTGTTGCCCCCCCTCCCCCCCAAATATCATCTGTGAAGGGACACAGTGGCTCAGTGGCTAAGACGCTGAGCTTGTCAATCAGAAAGTTCAGTGGTTCAAATTCCTAGCACCGTGTAATGAAGTGAACTCCTGTTACTTGTCCCAGCTTCTGCCAACCTAGCAGTTCGAAAGCACGTAAAAATGCAAAATAGGGACGAGATTGGTGGGAAGGTAACAGTGTTCGGTGTCCCTTTGGTGGTTAGTCATGCCAGCCACATGACCACAGAGACGTCTTCAGACAGCGCTGGTTCTTGGGCTTTGAAAGGGAGATGAGCACTGCCCCCTAGAGTCGGGAACAACTAACACATATGGGTGAGGGAAATCTTTACCTTTACCTTATCATCTGTAATTTGTTTCTTTTCTAGTATTGCTGCCTCCGATGAGCTCTCATCCTGATCCATGCCACGAAATCAAGTGTGGGAATGGATATGTTTGCCGAGTTACCCACAACCAGGCGGAGTGTTTTCCAGAGCCTCAGTCCTGCAATTCTGTCCAATGCCAAGAAGGGACGCTCTGTGCCATAGTCGATGGCTTGCCCAGATGTGTCCCTTACCCGTCCTCTTGTCATCAGGTCCAGTGTAAAGAAGGGACAATTTGCAGCCTGACAGACGGCTTCCCCAAATGCGTGCCTGTGCCGCAATCCTGTGCCGCCATCCAGTGCAAAGAAGGCACCATCTGTGCCATTATTAACAGTTGGCCTCAGTGCATTCCAAGGCCCAAGTCTTGCCAAAACACGCCGTGCAACCCGGGAATGGTGTGTGAACTCATTAATGGCTGGCCACAATGTGTGCCCCACCTGGCTTCCTGTCGCAGCCTCCACTGCAAAGATGGGACCAAATGCCAGATCGTGCATGGCCAGGCACAGTGCATTCCAGCGTCCGCCTCGTGCAGTGAGATCCTGTGTGAGAGAGGAGCCATGTGTGAGATGGTCGATGGCCAAGCCAGGTGCGTCACGCTGCCACCCTCCTGCCTCCACGTTGAATGCAAGCAAGGGACCATGTGTGATATGGTCGATGGGTGGCCAAAATGCATCCCGAGTCCAACTTGCAAAGATTTAAATTGCGAAGCTGGTCCCAAATGCAAGATGGTGAATCACCTGCCCAGGTGCTTGCCTGTCCCTTCCTCCTGTGACCAAATTCACTGCAGGCCTGGGTCCGTATGTGAGCTGGCAGATGGTCAGCCCACGTGTGTGCCCATCCCGCCCTCTTGCCACAAGATCCGTTGTGAAGGAGGAACGCTCTGCGAGATCCTTGAAGGGGTCCCCAGATGTGTGCCTGCCATCACCTCCTGTAACAACGTACAGTGCCCGACGGGAACCATCTGTGAAATGATCAACAGTTGGCCCACGTGTAGGCCTCGCCCACACTCCTGTGAGAGCATTGTGTGCAAGAATGGAACGGCCTGTGACATCGTCAACGGCTGGCCGACTTGTATTCCGGTTGTGCCAACAACTTGTGCGGCCATTGTTTGCAGAGAGCAAGCTGTGTGCAAAATGGTGAACGGCGTACCAACCTGCATACCCATCCCACTGTCTTGTGACAGATATAAATGCAGAGAGGGAACAATTTGTGAGGTTGTCCATGGATGGCCCACGTGCATACCTTTGGCGTCTTTGTGTCAGAAAATAGAGTGTGCGCCAGGCTCTGTTTGTAACATAATTGATGGCAGGCCTAAATGTGTCCCGGCCCCACCTACTTGTGACCAGCTTCAATGTAAAAGAGGAACCATCTGTGAAAAAGTAAATGGCCTCCCTGCATGCGTTCCACAACTTCACTCTTGTGAGCACACCTACTGCCAACAAGGGACCGTTTGTGAAATTGTGGACAAGCGGCCCAGATGTGTTCCAATCCCCGCATCCTGCGACAAAATCCACTGCAGACCAGGGACCACTTGCAAAATAATTGATCTCTGGCCTCGGTGTGTTCCCATCCCACCTACCTGTGACAAACTGCGCTGCAAAGATGGCAGCGTTTGTGAAATTATTGATGATTGGCCCATGTGCACGCCGACTCCGGCTTCCTGTGATAAAATCGAGTGCAAGGAAGGAACTGTTTGTGAATTAGTTGATGATTGGCCCAGATGTAGCCAAATGTTGAACTCTTGTGAAAAAGTCCACTGTCAGGAAGGGACCAAATGTGAAATACACAATGGGCTTCCAAAATGCATTTCCGTATCCCTGTCCTGCAACAATTACCATTGCAAAGAAGGGTTCATTTGTCGGATTGATGAGGGTTGGCCAAAATGCTTTCCCAACCATTCTCCTTGTGAAAAACTCAACTGCAGTGCAGGAACCGTATGTGAGACACTTCAAGGGCAGCCCAGATGCATCCCCATCACCACCTCCTGCGCTAACATCATCTGCACGGAAGGAACCGTTTGTGAAATCAACCATGGTTGGCCCAAGTGTGTTCCCATCTCACCCGCTTGTGCAAACCTCAAATGCAGTGAAGGGACTGTGTGTGAGATATATGATGGGCATCCGAAATGCCTCCCTATCTCACCTTCTTGTAACCATTTTCAGTGCACCTCTGGAACTGTTTGTGTAATCAGCCAGGGTTGGCCCAAATGTGTCCCTGTCGCACTCTCTTGTGAGAACTTCAAATGCAGTGAAGGAACTGTGTGCAAGATACATGAAGGTCAACCAAAATGCCTTCCTAGATCCTTCTCTTGTCACCAATTCCATTGTAAGAGTGGAACGGTGTGCCAAATACACAATGGTTGGCCACAGTGCGTTCCGATTCCCTCTTCTTGTGGAAATGCCAGTTGCAGTGTTGGGACCACGTGCCAAATGGTTTCTGGCTTGCCCCAGTGTCTTCCTACGTCACTGTCATGTGATCAGTTCACCTGCCCTGAAGGAAGTGTTTGCAAAGTGGTTGATAACTGGCCAAGATGCCTCCCTATCCTGTCCTCCTGCGATAGCTCAAACTGCCAGGAAGGTACCGTTTGTGAGATAGTCAACGGATCGCCAACTTGCATCCCAGTTCCATCTTCCTGTGACAGAACCGTCTGTAAGCAAGGGATGGCATGCCAGATGGTGAATGGTTGGCCAACCTGTGTTCCAGCATCCTCGACGCTTTGTGCTTCTATGCAATGTCAAGTGGGAACTGTGTGTCAACTCGTTGGTGGAAGCCCACAATGCGTTCCCAGCACACCATCCTGTAGTCAGTTTCAATGTCCTGCTGGGACTATTTGTGACATGGCCAGTGGATGGCCCAGATGCGCTCCTGTGCCAACTTCCTGCGAAAACGCACATTGTCAAACTGGGACTATTTGTCAAGTTATAAATGGTTGGCCCCAATGTGTGGCCCCTACCCATTCATGCCAGACAATTCAGTGCTGGGAAGGGACTGTTTGTAGAATGGTGGATGGTTCACCTAGGTGTTTTCCTCCTGTATCTCCCCAAGCGATATGTTGGGCCTCTGGTCAGCCCCATTATCACACGTTTGATGGACGCAGCTTTGATTTCCAAGGTACCTGCACTTATACAGTGGCTAAGACTTGCCATACCAGCTCCAACCTGCCATTCTTCCACATCTTCACCAAGAGCCAGAAGAGTTTCCCTTTCTCTTTCATCAATCAGGTCACCATCACCATCTACAACTCCAGCATCACCATGATCAAGCATGAGTATGGCCTTGTCAGAGTAAGAACCCTCATTATTCCTTTCTCCCTTTTTCTTTTCTTTTCTCCCTTTCTCTTCTTCTCTTCGTTTCGTTATTTATTTTTTAGGTATTCAAATATCGCATTTCTTAACTGCCCAATGTTCTCAGTTAACATTGAGAAAGTGCTGATGGCTTAACTTCAGCTGTCCCCAATAATAATTCTGCTCATGAGAGACAAAAGAAAGCAGGTAAAACACATTTTTGGGCAGGTGGGTCAGTGTTGAAAGTTGATAATCTAATAGTTATACAACCTTTGGAATTTTCTATATGCCAGAACAGAAAATAGGACATTACTCTAAATCAGGTGTGTCAAACTCAGTTTCATTGTGAGCTGCATCAGGGTTGTGTTTGACCTTGGGGAGGTTGATGGGCATGGCCATGGGGGCATGGCCAACTCAACATCACAGCCGGCCATTCTGGGAATTGAAGTCCACATGATTGGACATGCCTGGCATAGAACCAAGTAGTTGCGGGCTGGATTTATGGTTTTCTGTTTTAGTGTCTAGGCAATTGTGTCATCTTATATTGTCTTCCTGTCCTACACAGGAAGGTCCATTGCTGAACATATTTGGCCACTGTGTAATACAGAATGAATGCTGGATTATATGGCCCTTTAGCTTTACTTAATATTCTTAAATTATAGCTGAAAACAAACCACGACATTTCATTCATATACTGGCTCAGTATGGTAGGTTTTGACCAGTTCTAGCCCTCTAGGATCTCATCCATCGATTAGTAATGAGCTCCCTTTTAACCTGAAGATATTAGATATTGGGACAATGTTCTGCATTCATAGTATTTATTTATTAATTAGACTTATATACCGCTTCATAGGGCTTTCAGCCCTCTCTAAGCGGTTTACAAATTTATTTAG